CTGAGGGCAAAGAGGGCTGGAGAAGGGAGAGGAAGAGACCAAGGGCTAGAAAGGAGCAACACCTGAACAGATGCCAGTGCCCCCTGTGGCTCACCTGTCATGGTGGATGATGAGGCTGATGGCCTCAAACAGCACGGCATTCTTCGCATTCGAGTGCTGGACTTTTTTGGACTTGGGTGGTTCCTGGGCCTTGTTCAGGATGGTTTCCAAGCACTCAGTCAGGCGGCCTCGCACTGCAGGATCTTCTGGGCAAGACAGGATTGTTAGCTGGGCTCCTGGCCCTAAATCTACCCAGCCCTGGCCCCTAGGCCCCTGGCCCCTCCCCCACTAGCTGTACATGTCGTGGGCACTGCAGATACAATCGTGCTCAGCGCCGTACGTGGCTGGGAACACTTGAAGAACCAAGTGAGACAAAAATGAGCAAGCCTCGCTGTTCTATGAGTGGAATAAACATCAGAATGAAAAGGTCCAGCAGCTATGGAAGCGACACCTCATTTTAATGCAACTAACTGGCAGAGCACTTCTGCTGAGATTAAGAGATTAGTCATGAGAAAACAAAATCCAACAGACGTGAGCAAGGCATGATTACAAAGCTCAAGGGGAAAGCTTGATAGAGCTCTCCTGCTCTGATGAACAAAAGAAAACACTGTGAACCCCAGGACACATAGAAGAAAACCCCCTATACAACACAGTAATCACAAAACTATTTTTAAAAATGAAGAGAAAGGGGGCTGGGAGAGTGGCTCAGTGGTAGAGCACTTGCCTCGCATGCTCGAGGCCCTGGGTTCGATTCCTCAGCACCACATAAGAAAAAAGCCGGAAGTGGCGCTGTGTCTCAAGTGGTAGAGTGCTAGCCTTGAGCTGAAGGGCTGAGGGACAGCACCCAGGCCCAGAGTTCAGGCCCCACGACCGGACCCAAAAAAAAAAAAAAGCTCAAGGGGAAAGCTTGATAGAGCTCTCTTGCTCTGATGAACAAAAGAAAACACTTTGAACCCCAGGACACATAGAAGAAAACCTCCTATACAACACAGTAATCACAAAACTATTTTTAAAAATGAAGAGAAAGAAAAAATTGAATTAAAAGCCACAAAACAAATAAAAGACAAAAGGGCAGTGGCTCATCCCTGTAATCCCAGTCAGGAAACTAAGATCAAATACATATAAATTACTTGATACAGCCGGGTGCTTGTGGCTCACGCCTGTAATCCTAGCTACTCAGGAGGCTGAGATCTGAGGATCACAGTTCAAAGCCAGTCTAGGCAGGAAAGTCCGTGAGACTCTTACCTCCAATAAACCACTAGAAAACCAGAAGTGGCACTGTGGCTCAAGAGGTAGAGCGCTCTCCTTGAGCTCAAGAGGTGAGGGACAGCACCCAGACCCAGAGTTCAAGCCCCACCACTGACCGGTATTTTTAAATCAGCAGTACATTCAGCCTATTACAAAACAGCCCTTTGGCAACAGCGCACAGAGGAGCCCCTGAAAATGGCACTGTAGAAACTGGGATCCGGGTGTCAGGGCATGGGGGAAAGGGCAGAGCTCCTGCCAACCAGTCAGTTATAAAACGCTGGGTCAGAACTAAAAGCCTCAGACAGGGATGTGGACCAACATTCACTGAGAGGCTAAGAGGAAGGAGGGGCCGAATCTGTGTCCCCAGCCTCAGTGAAGGGCCAGCCTGTCCAAGAACTGCTGGGGCCAGACAGGGGCAAAGGTAGCCCTTGAAGTGAGTACAGCCCCATAGGAACAAGGTTCACTCAGTGTAAACAGGGATTCAGCACAAGGCACAATGCCTACGTGCATCTGATCATATAAAAAAATGTTTATCAAAATGAACTCAAGGAAATGGAAATGCTGCTGCTTTTGTGTTTTCTTTGTGCCTTGTTTTATTTATCTGTCTTTGGGAGGGTAAGTGGAGGCCCAGAACGGAGGGACAAAGGGTGAACAAACAGTAATACTAGATACAATGTTGAAAATAACCTATACGACTTGTGGGTGGGGATGGAAGGGAAAAACAGAACAAGGGAAAGGGGTGACACTGTCCAAAAAGAAATGTACTCTCATTATCTCTTTTATGTAACTCTAGCCCCTCTGTGTACATCACAATTTTAATTTTTTCAAAGGTATTCAGCAGAGAAAGTTACCTGACATTAGCAAACAAAAGTCTCCCACACAAATATAAATAGGTTATAATATAAGATTGAGTCAGGCAAAAGGGCTCAGGAGACAAAGACAGAAGGAGACAGAAGGTAGGAGGCCACGTGAGCAAAAGCAAGTTAGACCCTATCTTAAGGTGGGGAAGTAGCTGTGGCTCATGTGATAGAGTGCTAGCCTTGAGCAAAATCACTCAAGGATAGCACCCAGGCCCCCAGTTCAAGCCTTACCACGGTGGGGGGGGGAATAGGGGGTACAACACAAGGTAGGCAAGATAATACCTAATTAAATAATTGAAAGCAAAAACGGTGAGGGGATAGACTCAAGCCATAGAGCACTTGCCTAGAAAGTAGGAGGCTCTGAATTTAAAAGCCAAACATGCCAGGCACCAGTGGCTCACGCCTGTAATCCTAGCTATTCAGGAGGCTGAGATCTGAAGATCACAGTTCAAAGCCAGCCTGAGCAGAAAAGTCCATGAAACTCTGATCTCCAATAAACCACTAGAAAACCAGAAGTGGTGCTGTGGTTCAAGAGGTAGAGCACTCTCCTTGAGCTGAAGAGTGCAGGGACAGCACCCAGGCCCAGAGTTCAAGCCCCAGGACCGACAAAAAATAAAAATGATAAAAATAAAAATAAAAAATCCAAACACCCAAAATTAAGAGGAAGGAGTTTGAACAGAATAATCGGCCAGGCACCAGTAGCTCACACCTATCATACCAGCTACTCAGGAGGCTGCGATCTGAGGATTGTGGTTCAAAGCCAGCCCAGGCAGAAAGGTCCAAAAGATTCTTATCTCCAATTAATCACCAGAAAATCAGAAGTGGCAACTGTGGCTTAAGCAGTAGAGGGCTAGCCTTGAGCTGAAGCACTCAGGGACAGCACCCAGGCCCAGATTTCAAGCCCATGACTGACCAAAAAAAAAAAAAAAAGGGTATTACAGTTTGAACTTAGGGTCTTGAGTTTGCTAGGCAGGTATCCCACCATTTAAGCTATATCTCTATTTTTTTATTCCCTCCCTCCCTTCATTTTGTTGGTAATAGGTCTTGAACTCAGGGTCTCACACTTTCAGCTGGCTTGTTTGCTCAAGGCTGGCACTCTATACCTTGTTTGGGTGGTTAATTGGAGATAAGAATCTCACAGACTTTCCTGCCCCCACTGGCTTTGAACCGTGATCCTCAGATCTCAGCTTCCTGAGTAGCTAGGATTACAGGCACAAGCCACAATGCCCAGCTTTGCTCTCTTTTTTTTTTTGGGGGGGGGTCCGGTCGTGGGGCCTGAACTCTGGGCCTGGGCACTGTCCCTCAGCTCTTCAGCTCAAGGCTAGCGCTCTACCCTATGAGCCACAGCACCACTTCCGGCTTTTTTCTTTTTGCTTATGTGGTGCTGAGGAATCGAACCCAGGGTCTCATGCATGCAAGGCAAGCGCTCTACCACTGAGC